CATAAAATAATGATAAGAACAGAAACAATCTGAAATGAGTTGTTTCAAAACAGGTGATCTATTGTGGAAAGCTGATATTGCTCTCTTGGTATCTTGCTGCATTTTGCTGTTTCTGTGCATTTTTCAATTTGTGAAGCCATCTGACTGACAATTCTAGACTGTAAATGTCATTCTTTTGACATGACATGCTTACTGTCTTTGAAAGGAGATATTAATGCTTGCTCAATGCAATCTTTGGTAAACTACATACATCAAGTAAAAGGCAACAATTACTCTTAGTATTGCTATTCCTCAAATGGCATGCATTGGTACATAGGTTTCGTTTGAGAAAAGATTTGGTTTGCTAAATAAAATTTCATGAACTAAGGCTGATGCATTGGACATGTTCAGAGATGTTATGACATACCTGTTAAACACGTGAAAATTGAATGCCTGCCAGGGAGGTAGAGAAAGAGTCTCAGAACCAGAGGAATGGATATTTTCTAACCTACCTGTTCAGCAATATCACTTCTGAAGCAGGTGGGACTTGTACCCAGGCCTCCTAGTCCAGCGGTAGTGACAATATCTCTGCACCATAAGATCTCTAACTAAACAGAGGAGACATTTTCTGATCACCCTTTTCGGAAATGTTATTACGCTCCTCTGGAGCTGGTGCAACTTTAACCTAGGCTCTATGGTTCAAAGGGCACCGTAAGAGTCCTGCAACAGATATTTTTAATCAACCTGTTCAATGTATTGTTACACACCTCTAGAGCTTCTGAAACTTGAACATGGGCCTCATGGCCCTGAGGCAGGGGCACTACCACTGTACTAGAAGAGCCTTGAACAAACTAAAAGGTGTAAAACACGTGAATATATTGCATCAACTGGGTTGAATTTAGAAGGTGAGTGAGTAATCTAATCAAAATGATTAAAACAATTAACAGATTCAACATGTTAGATACAGACAATCAAGATCAAAATTAACTTATTAATTTTAAAAAGAGCTTAGACATTTCCAAACGGAAAGACACAAAGCCTGGAGACTGTTCACTTAAGGCTCTGGGATGCTGGATCAAATAAAATTTCTAAGTCTGACACTGACTGATACCAATATCTAACCAAAGCCTAAAAACAAAGAACATATAAGAAAAAATATAACACAGGTGGCTGTGTCAGTCATTATGAGGGACGTACATGTTCAAGTGGCTAAATGGCCTATCTTCCTAGTTACTACTCCTCCTTTCCAAAGAAAGGAGGCAGGCTGAAAGTATCACATTAACATTAGAAACTGAATAGTCAACTAAAACCATGGTTGTCACACAACTTTTTTTTTTATTAGTTTTTATTGCATTTCCCACCTTCAATAATGTACATACACTGACTGCAACTTTAATGTGAAAGCATAGCAGCACTAGCTTTACTGCTCAAAAACATATTCTTCTTAAAAAAAAGTCACAGGAACACTCAAAACTCTCCAAGTTTCAAATGACAGTTTCTTTTGAGATTTTACCACAGAGACAAAATGTATAGTGTTATTTTGAAATAATTAAATACAATAGGAAACCAAATGAAATTACGATATCAAAGTGCTACGATAACCATTCTGTTTAATATCCCAGTTTCAGATCACAAGTTTACTTTTCTGGCAAAGATAATGAAGATTTTTAAGAATATGTCATAATGAACCTGTTGAGTTAAGTATTACTTTGTTATTGACTGAGGAAACATTAGAGTTTGATTCATCACAGTATTTGCTAACAGACTAGGAATATTCAAAACTAATTTTGACAGCATACAATTTAATTCACTGTGCCACAGATTTTATAATCCTGTTACAGCGACATTATTAGAAAATGATGTGGTACTTGGATCATCAGGTCAATATCAGTCTTTACCAAAGTAAAGTTGGCCAAAATGAGTTCCCATTTATTTTTTGCTAGAAAATTTTATTGAACTGACCACCTCTCAACAGCACTGCTGAGATGAGAAATTCACTTTGTAAAGAAACCTTTATGGTGCAATGAAATTTCATCCTATTTAACGTCACAGTCACATGCATTGTTTCAGTTAATTAATAAAGAAGGCATGGTAACTAAGTTTGCAGATGACACCATGATTGCTGGTATAGCGGACAATCAAAAAGTTGTCTAGAATTACAAAGAGATCTTGATCATTTGATTCAATGGGCTGAAAAGCAGCTTATGAAGTTTAATTTGGATAAATGCGAGGTATTGTAATTTGGTAAAACAAACAGGGGCAGGATTTATACAATCAATGGTAGGGCCTTGGGTAATGTTGTAAAACAGATAGCCCAAGGGGTTCAGGTACATGATTCTTTGAAATTTGCATCACATGCAGATAGGGTGGTTGGAAGTCTTTTAGCATGCTTGCCTTCATTGCTCAGATCTTTTGAGTATAGGAGTTGGGAATATATGTTCAGGTTGTACAGGACACTGGTGAGGCCTCTTCTGGAGTACTGTGTGCAGTTCTGGTCGCCCTGTTATAGGAAGGATATTATCAAGCTGGAGAGGGTTCAGAACAGGCCTTCTGGACGTTGCCGGGAATGGAGGGTTTCCGTTATAATAGGCTGGATAGGCCGGCACCAGAGCGTAGGAGGTTGAAGGGTGACCTTATAGAGATTTGTAAAATCACGAGGGGTATAGATAAGGTGAAGTGACACGTGCCTTTTCCCTAGGGCGAGGGATTTCAAGACTAAGGGGTATATTTTTGAGGTAAGAGGAGAAGAATTTAAAAAAGACATGAGGGGCAACTTGTTTTTACACAGAGAGTGGTGCATGTGCAGAATAGATTTTCAGAGGAAATGGTGGATGTGGGTATGGTAATAATGTTTAAAAGGTAGTTAGATAAGTACATGAATAAGAAATGTTTGGAGGGATATATGGCAAGCATACGCAGATGGGACTAGTTTAATTTGGGATTATGGTTGGCGTGGACTGCTGGGCCGAAGGGTTTGTTTCCGTGCTCTACAACTCCATGACTCTATAACCCTTACATTTTAAGGATTATAACACTACCACTTTAACTGCATTCACAGGTAGAAAGGAGAGTGAAGAAGGCGTTTGGTATGCTTGCCTTTATTGGTCAGTGCATTGGAGTATAGGAGTTGGAAGGTCATGTTGCATCTCTACAGGACATTGGTTCAGCCACTTTTGGAGTACTGCATGCAATTCTGATCCCTCTCCTACAGGCAGGATGTTTCAAAAGGGTTCAGAAAAGATTTACGAGGATGTTGCCAGGGTTGGAGGGTTTGAGCTACAGGGAGAGGCTGAATAGGCTGGAGCTATTTTCCCTGGAGCATCGGAGGCCGGGGGGTCACCTTACAGAGGTTTATAAAATCATGAGGAGCACGGATAGGATAAATAGGCAAGGTTATTTTTTTCCCGGGGTGGGGGAGTCCAAAACTAGAGGGCATAGGTTTAAGATGAAAGGGGAAAGATACAAAACGGACCTAAGGGGCAACTTTTTCAAGCAGAGGGTGGTGCATGTATGGAATTAGCTGCCAGAGGAAGTGGTGGAGGCTGGTACGATCACAACATTTGAAAGGCATCTGCACGGGTATATGAATAGGAAGAGTTTAAGAGGGATATGGCCCAAATGCCAGCAAATGGAACTAGATTTATATAGGATATCTGGTGGGCATGGATGAGTTGGACCGAAGGATCTGTTTCCATGCTGTATTTTTTTTTCCTTTATTCATTCACAGAATGAGGGCATCGCTGGCTAGGCAGCATTTATTGACCATCCCTAATTGCCCAGCGGGCAGTTAAGATCAACCACATTGCTGAGAGTCTGGAGTCACATGTAGGCCAGACCAGGTAAGGATGACAGTTTCCTTCCCTAAAGGGCATTAGTGAACCAGATGGGTTTTTCTGACAATCGACAATGGATTCATGGTCATCATTAGATTCTTAATTCCGGATATTTATTGAATTCAAATTTCACCATCTGCCATGGCGGGATTCGAACCCAGGTCCCCAGAATGTTATCTGGGTGTCTGGATTAATAATCCAGCGATAATGTCAATAGGCCATCACCTCCCCCATATCTCTATGCCTGTAATTTGATTAATGTGATTCCCTAGGGAGCATTCAATCTAACTTTTAAACTTAAAACTGAATTTCACAGATTTACTGCTATGAGCATGGACAGCAAAATACATGATTTTTTTTAAGCTTTCAGAACTGAAAATTGTAATTATTCTGGAATCATAAAATTATACAGCGCATGCTGCCTATCGAGTCTGTGTAGACCCTTTGAAGGGACTATTTAATTTGTCCCATTCCCCTACTCTTCTCTCTTAGCATTGTATTTTCCCCTCTTTCAGATATTCATCTAATCCCCTCTCAAAAACAACTAATGAATTTGCTCCCTTCACCTTTCAAGGCCATGTATTACAGATAATAACAACTCAGTATACCATAGTTTTGTATTGGATCTATTACGTTGTCTGTGATCCATGTTCTGCTTGTGTTCTGTTAAATGCCTTTCAAAAGCTCTGTTCATCAATTACAACTTTACCCAGTTCAATTGTGGGAGTTATATTCCCAAGCTCCAAAAATTAAAATAATCATAAATGTTACTTCATAGCTTAAATAAAGCCATTGCAACATATATCCTAAATTTTCTCTTTAGAATGGTTAACTATAATCCACTTTCACAGAAGATAGCTGGTTTGTTTGTTGAAATGTTACGCTACAAACAGCTGAATTAAAATATTGAGCCCTTCAGATTAAATACATAATAAGGCATCTTTTTGAAACCAAATTAAAAGGTTGACAAAGCCTGCTGTTTGAGAGTAGATGTTACTTTCACCATTAATTAACAAAAACAGATCTTGAAAACATTATGTATTTTCTGCTTGATGTTAAAGAAATAATAATGACAACAGTGCTACACGTTTTGTACAATTACTGCCTTCTATTTGCAAATTAGAAATGTCACAAATTAATGGGTATTAGATTTCAGCTATAGTTACATCGAAAAGAGGCAATACTTACCCTGCCTGCAGGACTCATTGGAAGCAATGCCATTTCTGATGCCATTGTGTAGGTTGAAACTTCACTCACCACGCTCACTGGCCGGTCTTTTTTCTCTTGTGATGCCATTGCTGCAGCAGTCCTGAAACTGTAAATGGGGTATAGTGAAAGCACACAGCCAACTATGTACCAGGACAGCTATAAATAGAAAACGATCCCTTGCTGTTTCTCCAACCACGTCCTATTTTCTGGCTGCCTTACTAGAACACGGAATGTATTTCCAATAAGTAGTCAGGCTTTAATACATGTGAAAATATGTTAAGCAGATTGTGATTTCAGCCAGCTGCCTGGAGAGGTTTCTACAGATCTCTACCTAACCAACATAAAAACAAATCACTTTGTCCCTATATATTTTTCTTCATTTTAATCAACTGCATGCAAAGTAAACAGAAATGTCAAGGATATATATGTCTACTTTTTTTTAAAAAAAGGGCAAGTAATTACACGATAGATTAAATTTTAATATATATTGCCACCCAACTAACATTTAACTAGATTTCTTTAGTACATATACTGGCAGATATAAAACAAGCCCACTTCATTCTTTAAAAAAGATGCATTGTTCAAAGCATGAAATGGAACTAAATCTTTGGCTAGATATTTTGCTACACAATTGCTAAAAAATGTATGGCCTAAATAAACGAGACCTTTGTGTATTTTATGCAAGTAAAAATTCTTCTGGAATTCATCAACCAGAATAATCTAGTACCCAAGGGGCTCCAAGCCATCTCAACACTACTTGAGACACAAACATAACAGGCTGAATATTACCTTTATTTGGGCTAAGTGTCAGTGTCAATTTTATGGAGTGTTTCTCGCTGCAATGTTGTGTGGATCACTCCTACGATATCTTACCAAATTGACTTGATTAACTAACTATCCTGCTCCTATGGCACTCCTCCCAGATTCTAGCCCCATTCTACCACTCGCCGTACCTGGAACAACCTGCCTGTACCAGGATAACCCAGAATGGACTCGAATCCCTGATACTGGTGCCATCTTTTAAAAATCATCAAGCACCCAGTGAAGCACTGCTAGGTAAAAGCTACTCTGCATGGTTCCTGACATTTGCCTCAGACATGGTAGTGAAGTGAAAATTAATGCCCCACTTTGCAGGCAGGGACCTAAGATTCAAGGTAGGTGGTGGCCTGCCCAGTATACAGCTTCCCAACCCTTATTTGGACAGTGCTCTGACTATGACCATCCAGAGTGGCTGACTGATCATATCGAAGCCCCTCTACTGGTATCAGAGGCGACACTCGACTTATTGCTCTGGGGCCCCTGACAAAGGCCATTTCCCTTGACTAGGCAGAGGGCTCCTGACACCGACAACAAGATTCCTGACTTTGTGTCTGTACTAAACAGCAAGACAATACAGGAGTACTGACAGCCTGGTATCTCTGGCTGAGAGCCAAGGTGCAAAAAGGCAAAGGAAGGCAATGCTTGGTAGGGTTGCTGTAAGCATCCAGGTAGGCTCAAAGTGAACAAACACATCAGAGATGCAGCCTGATCCAGTCCATGAGCTGGGGTACGAGTTCCAGAACACAAAATATACTTGCTACAACATTACAATGATTGTTGTCATTGCACCCTAGGTGCAGCACTGAAGTGCAAACATGTACTTTAAGTGGATTGGAGATGTACCTTGAAGATTCTCAGGGACTGGCACATGTTTGATGCCAGAAGTCCAAGTGCATGCAGTGTCTGTGGTCAGTGCCACTGGATCATGCCCTGAGATGCTGGTGCCTGATGTCCAACATGGAGACCGTTTGGGGCTAGTGGCAAGCTGAAGGCACCAGTTGCCTAATCTGACTTCAGTGTCAAGAATTATTGGCAGCTAGGTGGTTTGCAGCAGACTGTAGAATAGTAAGCTGCATATTAATGAAGCGAAATATGCAGTTAATAAAGCTGCTAACAAGTAAAAATACTCTTTGATTGACAATATGCCACTGCTGAGAACAAATTTCACTATGATGTCTGGTACTTAGTTAAGAGATGCAACAAGTTACTCCTGACATTGAGACAGGCCTCACTGGAGATCTAGTACAATTCTACTACATTTCCCGTCAAAGCCAATGTACAAAACATGCTCCACTCATGCTCTGATATCGATACAACATACAATATACCCAATATCCAGACAAAATCAATGAGATCTACAACTTTGAGGCCAAGCTAACTGAAATAATTTGTAGACAGCAAGAACTGCAGATGCTGGAGTCAGAGTCAATACAGTGTGGAGCTGGAGGAACACAGCAGGTCAGGCAGAATCAGAGGAGCAGGAAAGTAAACGTCTCGGGATTACACACTTCCCAGTCCTGATGAAGGGTGTCAACCCGAAACATCGATTTACTTGCACCACAGATGCTGCCTGACCTGCTGGGTTTCTCCAGCTCCACACTGTATTGAAATAATTCGTAATTTATCAACTGCATTTTGGAAAAGTTAATGAAATATGGGCAAAAGGCATTGTTATCTCTTCCACAATTTTTCCTTATCAATAGAATTGGATGCATTGCACATTTAGAGTTAGGAAAGGTTCAAAACATCTTTGAGAAGATTTGAATGAAGAAAAGAATAGCCCAAGAAAAACTATCCAAACTCACCCACAACAAAGTCACTGACAACACAGAAACACGGAGCAAGAACGTCTCAGACTGACCACTTACAGACACTGAGAAGACCATCCTAGAAAGAGGACTGAATTATAACTATAGAAACGCCAAAAACACTGACTTTCTGGCTGCACTGGAATCAACACTAAACAGCAACAGACTCATGGAGGAAATACAACAGACCAAAAGACAGACAATAGTCCCAACACTGAGCAGAAATATAAGTAGAACACATTTAACACAGAAGAAAAGAAAACCGTGGAAAGACTCAAGAAAGACAAAAACATCGTAATCTAACAATAAAACTAACGTAATATACAAAATACCATGCAAGGACTGTGAGAAATATTACATAGGCCAAACTGGAAGAAAACTGAGAATAAGGATACATGAACATCAACTAGCCACCAAGAGACATGACCAATTCTCACTGGCCTCAATACACACAGACTAAGGAGGACAAGAATTCGACTGGGACAACGTATCCATAATAGCACAGGCCAAACAGAGACATGCCAGAGAGCTCCTGGAGGCCTAACATTCCAACCAGGACCCCATCAACACACACACTGAACTGGACCCAATATACAAACTACTGAAAAACAGAACCAGAAGTAATGCCAACCACCCCAGCAAACCAAGGCATATAAATAATAAGCGGGACAGAACACCAACACTTCACCATAGGCGCTCTGACGGTGTTACCTAGCAGGGCGACAAAACATCTGTAATCAAACACACTGGCTCGGCAAGCAAGTCCACAACCTAAGAATGTCCAGTTCTACACACCTATGGTATGGTGGTGGACAGAACAACACCTTTCAGCCCACTCTCCTATTTTCAAAAGCTTTCCAAAAAAAGCTGTGTTCAACTAGAATTTTGGCTGCTGCTACTAAATTCTTTGCTTCTTTCCCTCTAAATGACATTTTCCTCTGGCCTTTGAATAATTTGGGTTATCTTGAAATATTGCCCACTAATGTTTTCCGAGTGGAGATTAATTGCTTTGTAATAAATAATTACATTTTTACAAAAGCACAAATAGTAACTGCTCTTGAAGCACTTACATAATTTAGTTCCTATCACTATAATTGTAATTTTTCTGCCCATCATCATATTAACTCAGGATGACAGCTCAAAATGTGAAGCTTTGTTCTGTCGCACAAATTAAGTCCTGAAACTCAGAATCTTAGTTGTTGTTAATTACATCAAATTAGCTTTTGTGGCTCTGCCAGGAGTGTCAAATTCTGGCTTTAGAGCTGTGATACTCCAGACAACCTGCCAAAAGTAACATTGTGTTTTTTAATAACTTCAAGGTGTCAAAAAATATGGAAAACTTAGCTAAAGTGGAATATTATACATGAATAGAGGAGGTGGGGAACAATGAGGAAGAATCCTAGAACCTCACTTAAAATGGTTAAGAATACTGCATTGTCAGCAATTAGGGAAAGGTCCACAACAAGACGGTTTTACTTTTCCAGCTGAAGCAGAATTTATGCAAATTTGAGGGAGGGGTCAGCTGAGAAAAAACAGAAATTGAGAAATAAATTATAATATTTAATGATACACCAAATCAGCCTTTTCACTCATTTGTTGCAAGTTGCATTTCTTTTAATTAAACAAAGGAAACTCAAAGCAAAAAGTAAAGCCAGTCAAATACGTGTCAAAATAGTATAGCAAGTTAAAGGTTAAATGAATTCTAAAAGCATGACAGTTTCCTTTGAAATATTTTGCACGAAGAATATTACTTAATTTGATTCATTCCAATTACAACAGGTAATAGACTAGACAATTCATCACTTCACGCACATCCAGGAGATGCTATTAACCAGAGGTGTAACTGTATTCAAACACACTAATTTCATAGTCTGTTTTAGCTCTCTACCATCACCCTCAAGCCATACGATCAACACTAAAAAGCAGTGCAAGAGAACATGCCAGAAACAGCATCAAGTTTACTTAAAAATGGAGGTGACAACCTCATGAAGCTACAAAATTATACGCTAGACAGTGAAAACATCACAACATAGACATAGAGGAACGCCACGACCAACAGATTAGATGAAAGCTGTGAAGTTCTTCTTGTGGCCATGAATTATGGACACACAAACAACCAACTACAGGAGAAGGCATCACGGACACCCCATACTCATTCATGTTACAGCCCAGTATGTTAGTGCAAGAAAACAATATTTACAAATATCTTCAGCAAGTAGTGTCATGTTTACCAATCTTGGCCTCTCTGAGGTCCTCAGTGTCATCACAGATGCCAGTCTTCAGTCAAATCAATTCACTTCACTTTAATGTTATATCAAAAACTGCTAAATGCACTAGATACAGCAAACACTATGCGGTCTGACAAAACTTCAACTTCAGCATTAAAAACTTGTCAATATCTTCAAGTTGAGTCAAGCTGTTCCACTACAGCAACACAGATAGCTATTCAACAATGCAGAAAATTTCCCAGCTATATCCT